GAATACTTGATGTAAAAATCTGTTCTATTGCTTTTAATTATATAGTTTCAGCGTTGGAGAGTTGGGTCGCCAGATTAGCAGCGTTCAATTAATCGGTTCTAAATTATTCTAATATAAAAAACTCGTGACTCTAGCTCTAAGGTCGTCAGAAGTTGTTGAAATTGCTGCTGTCCCAAAAAAAGGTTCTCTGTGGTGAAGTAAAGTTAAATAAAAAACTGCTGGTGTAATGTCCTAGCTATTTTGTTTATACTGCTCGTGGCTTTCAGACGTAGTTGCTAAGTCTACTTAGAACTAATCACAAGACAGATCTTGCTATTGATCAATGAATGGGGGAACCCTTGACGTGGAGTGAAAACAATTTTATAGATGAGCAATTTGAAAAATTGCTGTTGTGATAAAATTCACTTTTCTCAGGCCGTTGGGCTCAATCGTTAACTGGATGTTTCTATAATATTTTCGAGGGTTGCTGTTGCATCACATTGATTCAATTGTCAAAATCGCTTTCGAAGAAACGTGACCAGATCCTGACGATTCCTGTCGCTCCTAAAATGTCTAAGTGAATTGTTTTACAGTATATTTTAAAAAGTAACCACAATTTATTTGCATATAATTTTCTTAGATTATTTCAAGAACGTCACCCCTTTTTAGGAGTCGTGTAAGCCATGACAAGCATGTGCTGTAGGGTTTTATTCATTACACTTTAACCCCGCTCTACCCGGCCCGGGTATTGAACCATGAATCCCCCCGGTTCTGAAGTGAACAGCATACCGCTCCACCACTGGATCGGTTCATATAATTTTCGTAAAACGGCATCGTGCATCAGGAGTTGCACCTTCTTTTCCTGCTTAAGATACTGTACCAAAAGGATCCCATCGGGATCAGCGATGAATATAAGTTCATTAAGTGTAACCCAAATTTAAGTCCGAAGCGCCTTCGTAAACTTTAGATCTTCACGGTACACAATTTGGCTGGCTAAAGTCGACGCTTCACGCGATCTAGTACCTACTAGCAGTGTTTTGTGCAGTACATGTTACCCGATCAAAGCAGCCAAAGCTATTTTTTAGCTTGTAAATTCGTTAAATTCCTATTGATGTGGAAATAATATAAAATCCTGTTTTTGTATGAATTACTATTATTAATATATAAACGTTTTCCAGGTTTTGATAAATATATAGCTGGTCTTCGTCGCATACATTGCCAGCATGAGCCAACACAGCGTCGTGCATACGTGTGATTGCACGGTAAATAATACACTCACTAGCAGGTGCCATAGCCAATGGCGATTCTTTCTCCCACTCACGAAGAAAGTAGCCGAAACTCTACATGCAGCGGCTTAGAGGAAGCCTGGTTAAGGTCGGTGACCTTTGTTCTATACTTACAACCAGTATGATTGTAGTGGATCGTAAACCACTTACTTCAATTGTAATTACAACCATAACCCAAGGCAAAAAATCTTCCGTTTATACGTAGACTTTCGTTTTTGGTTTTATATGCGGCAAAGCCGCCTATATCTAAATCGATAGGTTTTCCTATCCGTATAGAAAGACCTAATTAAATGTATAACAGCTTGCTCTTCCAGCCACGTACTGACTTCTTGTTAAGGTGTAGCCACACCATTGTGTGATCACACCATATTGTGTGGCCCATAACCTTCACACCACACCACAGTACGTAAACCCGGAATTCCGGAACCGATGGATCTTAGTGCGGTCACTGTCCTTAGGCAGTAAGTTCGCCGTTGCGGATGTAAACAATTCGGTCACACTCATCGTGATTGTCCACGTGAGAGACGAACCTCTCAATACGGTGTCGTCGTAGTGGCCCCGTGCAGCAGGGCTGCCGTAGCTTAG